TTTAAATATTTGTTTAAGAATTGTTAAGTTGTTAAAGACATTGTTAAAGCAATTGTGTTGTATTGGTGAACAGTAAATTATATAAAATAAATACATATATATGACGTTTATAAACTTTATATTGTGTTGACTTGTTCATATTGAGTTTATTCAGATCTGAGCGTTACACTACAAGGGTTCATACGGTAGTACAGTGAGTACTGGTGAGGCATGATATTCTTGGGGTCTTTGTTTTGAGTCTCAGTCAGGCTGCATATTTTAATTACTTTGTGATTAATAAATGTTTCCAGCTAATTATTTGCTTGTCTGCATTTATTAATGATCATGTCTTATGTTAATAGTGAAATATTTAATTATTGTCTAGTAATGTGATTTTATAAGACATTGTAGCAGTACTAAATTTTACAGCTTTTGAAAAAGGGGGGGGGGGGTTGCATAGACTTGTGTGGACCTAGGCAGGTGCCCTCAATTAATTGCCTCCTCACCCGTGAGTTTTATTTTAGGATAGCCTGTAAGGATAAATCATTTAAATTATTATAATACCACAGGGGTATTTTCCTCTACTGGGTGTAATCAGAAACTATATATCTCCTCTGTAACATTTAAAACAACAATGTGAAATTGACTTGGAGATTCATACTATATCACCTATTCCACAGGGGACTGTGATGGTATTAAACGATGGTATAAAGTCCTAATTCACATTGTACCTATTCAAGGACAAATTTCAATAAAGCGCTGCAGGGATTATGTCATGGTTCCAAACTGTCCACTATTTTGATAGTTCAGTTGGTTGAGCTGCCGAATGGTTCCGAGGGTCCGGGGTTCATGTCTTGGTAAGGCAGCATATTTTTTAAACTTGTGACAGTAACATAAAAAGAAAGGTACTAGGCATTTAATGTTGCTTAATAATAATATAGCATATTAATACATATTATGCGCATGTCAAAAAATTTCAATTTTAAGTGATATGAAAAATATTTTCTGTTGCGCTGTCTTTGTAAATCTAATAACTTTACATTTTACACATGATTCACAAATTCTTGGGAGTCCCACACTTGACTGACCTTCCCATCTTGCACTAATGGAGGTGCATGAGGTTGACCGGTTTCCTTATTTTCCTCATTTTTTCCCTCTCGATTACAGTTTCAGACCCTAAATAAAAGTGCATTCTTAATATGTATATATACTCGTATATTGTAATGCCCTAGAAATTTTACCTTTTTTTGTGATTTCACTGGATTTCAGTATTGTTAATTTCTACTTTCACTTTCGTTTAGGGAAGCTTTCACTGGCGACAACGCAGTAAATCATGCGGTGTCCCAATGAAACATACAGGACATCAACTTAAATCTACGCATTGTGCCAGCAATTTAATCCTTCCTGATTCTGGAAGCTTTTCCCTTAATGTTATCCGTGGTAGAATCCTGTGTTTCGTGACTTCTGTCAAAATAGTTAATTCCTTTATTTTACACTCAAGATTTTAGAGTTCGATTGTTTATGATGCAGCCTCACTTAATATATAGATTTGCCTCATAAATCCATCTGATTTTAATTGTTAGCACTGTATATTTATGATAATTTGCAATGCACTTTTAATTCCATGTCGGCCATGTTGCGGACTATTACGTCGGCCTACGTAGTGAATGCAAGGGATAGTCAAGGGATAGTTCTTTATCCGCTTGCGCATTAAGATGAATTAGCGCATGATAGCTTGTAATTTTAAAAATCATTAGTTAAGGCTGTCACAAAAACAATTTTGGTGCTAGGTTGAGTGCATTTCAGCTCAACATTTCTAGCTATCGCTCTAGATCTACTGTACATGTAGCTAAAATTGTTGAAAAGTTAATATGATTTCGATATTTTAATAAAGGTTTAGAAACTTTTTCATTTTGCATGCGTTTCAGCGTGCGTATATCGTTTAGCGTATTTCGTCTAGCGTATATCGTTTCGTATAGCGTGCGTATAACGTTCGTTCGTATACATGTAGCGTGTAACGTGCGTGCGTTTTTTCCAGAGCGTGCTTTTTGCGTGTAAACTGAAACGTTCACGTACCCTACTGTATGTCGTCCCTTCGTGTTTTCGCATTTTGAGGCGAAGACGCGAAAATATACGGATGGCGTAAATCAGCCACCATACATAATCCATTCGAGGCGAATTTCTCAAGCATGTCGAAAGGATGTCCGGAAATGTGTTAATATAAAACGCTGATATTTCGTGTGTTGATTAAAATACTGTTTAGATTCTATATGGTTTTGAAGAAAAAAACTGTTTCTATGTAACTTTTCACGGAAATGGACTGTACAATGATTGCGTAAAAACAATAAAATGTCGGCTGCAGAAATCGAAAGGCATTTTGTCACGTGACTTTTGCCCATGCTACCGAAAACTACCCATCACAATATCACGGCGTTGAGACGCCGTGAAATAAGGTAAACAAAACATATAAATTGGACGAGCAAATTATTTCTGTATCCTGTAAAGTATAATTTGAACAAAGTAACTACTTAAAATGTAATGTCTTTACGAATAAAATTGTTTCCTACATTTGAATTTATCGGAATTTGTAACATCACTATGCTTATGAAACAACATTTTGTCTGAAGTTTAAGCAGAAAGAAAACGAGTTTGGCTCCTTCCTGGAAACTCATTTAAATAAATCATTTCAAATAAAACATAAAAATGCTTTATTATCTTGTATTGCATGTATTGTAATATAAATGAATATAAAATCTGTTGTACTCTGAAGTTTTGAGCTAAAATAATTGAGTTATTGTATTGCAATATGGCGAGTTAGAATTCCAAAATGAAATTATTGTATTCCATTAAGATGATAGAGAAACCCTGATCAAATATAACCGACAAGCTTTGCCGTTCATTATATGAATTTTGCTTCATCAATTTAAGTAATAAGCACGCTAAGAGAATACTTCCGCCTCCAATTACGTCATTGCATGATTGCATGTTACTGTGACTATGTAATTAGAGTGAAAGGAAATGAAGGAATTAAATTATTTCGTCTAAAATCAACGTCGAGGCAATGGGATGTTCATTCTCCATCATGTAATATATTGCAAAAAACAACAAATGAGTCGCGTGACGACAAAACCAACATAGTGGGTTTGCAACCAGCATGGATCCAGACCAGCCTGCGCCTCCGCGCAGTCTGATCAGGATCCATGCTGTTCGCTTACCAACTCTATTACAAGTGGAGAAACTGACAGCGAACAGCATGGATCCTGATCAGATTGCGCGGATGCTGGTCGCAAAAATATGTTGGTTTTGTCGTGACGCGGCTCAAATGATGTTACCATGCAGATATTATAATCAGAGGCTGCCGTTATATAAAAAAAAAAGTTAAACATCTGCAAAAAAGTTCAAACACTGATTAGACTAGCCAGAAGTTATATCATTTTTAGAGGTTGCCACAAAAAAGATATAGCTACAATAAAAGAAATGATACATATATAGTGGTTGGCTGACCAAAACAAAACAACCTTACTGCAAATGAGCTTAATTGACAGATTGGAGCCACCTTTAAGTGATGAGCAGTTAATAAATAGATCATTTCGATGTGTCAAGCATGCTGAAGTTAAAGTGAAGTTCCAGTCAGTTTCGGTATGCATACTTCTTTATTGTTTCATGTTTCTCGTACCCCGCTTAACTTAAGTTGACTTCATCATCTTTCAATCTGGATAAAACAATTTTTTAAATATATACTGGCTGAAAAGCGGTCAATATAGACGATAACTATACGACACGGTACATCACATTTTGAATGTCAATGTATTTATAACACAATGAGTTGCGCGCGCTTAACATTATTTTTATCACAAAAAAATCAGTACGTCATATTTTTTGGTCTCGTGTCGATTACTTTTTTTTCTAACGAAAACCTATATTTTAAATTTCATTTTGTTGTAAATAATAATATTATGAACTACTTTCGGTTTCAAATATTTTTAGCAATTTTAGATGTTTCAGTTTTTGGTTACTTTATTATTTAAGTTAAGTGTAATGTTTTTCGATATCTATAATTAAAAATCTAAATACATTTATACTTAATAAATAAACAGTTGATACCTCGATTGTTCTTCTTACATACAGTATTTAACTTTCGTTTTCAAACAATATTTTGATTGATTCTAAAATAAGACTCTTTACTGTTTTCGTTGATTTGTCGTTTTAAAAGAAGTGTAAAATGTACATCAAAATTTACATGTATTTTGTTTATCAAATAAACAACAGCGATAAAAATTAACTAAACCGGTATACACATGATGCTTAAATAGTCACTCTAGCTTACTGGAAATAATTGAACAAAAAGTGACACAGTAGAAGATTTACGAGCTTGTGATATGGTATATTATTATAAAAGACAAAGCATGTGTTCACAGGTCACAATGTAAATGTTTTATTAACCTAATCGAACTCAACTTGTGTCTAGACTTTCCGTCACTGTCCGTAGTTCGTATAGCTGTCATTATCCAGTCTCATTTTTGGGCTGTGACTAAAAAAAAGGATTGGAGCACCACACTAAATACCGTATTCCGGTATATACCGGACAAGGCGCTTTAATGATAAAATGCTAAAATCTTGTCTTTTTATCCAACAGAATGAACTTAAACAGGTCTAATTCATCTTTTCACACCGAATCAAGTACGATAATCAAGGAAAAATGTAAAATTCGGCGAAAAAAAACGATATTTGTCTATTTTGGGATCATGATTTCTGCAAGCGTCTAGAGGCACTGCTTTCTTGAGCAGAAACTAAATACCGTTTCCGGTATATACCGTACAAAGCGCATGAATGGTTGAATGATAAAATCTCACGTATTCATCCGCTGGTCACACCGATTTATATACGATAAAGATTGAAAGATGTAAGAATCGGCGAAAAAAGCGATTTTTTTTCTACTTTGTGATCATGATATTTCTACAAGCGTCTAGAAGTACTGCTCCAACACTGAAGTGAGTTAAATTCATTACCCAGTATCATATCATTATCCAGATTATTTTAATACATTTCCAGGGAACCGAAATATGACTGAAACACATGCAAATATAATTACTCTCCTCTCCAAATCTCATCTTGACAAGGGGCGATATGCAGTCAGTATTGATGCAACAAGCAAAGACGATCCAGGAGCTATCATAGAAAAAAGAAGAGATGAGAAACTGGTACATTTATGTATAGATTAAGATGTCTGTAGCATATGTCACCGTCTATTTTCATTATAATAAAGTCATGTTCATGAACAACACTCAATCTCATCTCACCAATACAATACTACGAACCAGGAACATTTTGTATATAGAAAATATGCAATTAAAGAAAGATAGTGCACACACATTTGATAAATACAGTAGAAATCCTACCCAAGACCACCCAAGAATTATCACCATCCGCTATTAAGACCAGTTTAAAAATTAACAGATTTTTGTGTGTGTGTGTGTCAATGGTCAGTATATCTAGAAATAAGACCAACTGTTTAATCCACTAATAAGACCAGCGGTTTCAATCCCAAGACATTGTTTGTTTTTTTTTGTTTTTTGTTGTTTTTTTTTTTTTTTTTTGGTTTTTTATTTTAGTAATAGAAAGAGCATCGAAACACGAGGCTTTCTGATTTGTACGAGGGGGAGTAGCCCCCGAGTATTAATCAGATTGCCGAGTGTTTTGATGTTCTTTCTCTTTTGTATCATAGTCAAACATAAAAACACGTTCCCTGTTGTCACAATATGAAACCCCACGAAAAAGAAACCAATCAACGAGCATTTGAATTTGATATTTCTATCGCTTTGCCTTTCTCTGCCGTCACTGAGCCAATCAATGGGCATGCTCTGGAGTGCGGGTAATTGATACCTGCACTCCAGTTAACGCACGGTGCATGTATATGTATACGATTTATCTCTGACACATTTTCAACAGAAAGGTCCCCAGACTATGATACAATTATTATTTGTAACCCTCTTTATATGAATATATATGAATATACATTCATATACAGTGGGGAAAATGAAGAATAAATCAATAGAAAAAGAAAAAGAAAATTCTGTTTTTTAAAAAACTGGTCTTAATAGCGTTTGGTCTTAATTCCGATGTGGTCTTTAATAGGATTTCTATTGTATAATGTAATACATTGTCAGTGTAGATTCATTGTATCAGTGCAAACACAAAACAACTTTTCAAGATATGGGCAACAAATTTAGGGCACTTACAGATGTAGTTAAGCAAGGTACCAGTCATTTTTATTTTGTGATAAGAGAAAGTATTGATTCCAAATTCTATTTCTGTCAAAAGAATATTATGTTTACCAACATAAATCAATACATAGATAATGAAACAAAATACACCAAACAAAAACATTGTGACATTTTAACAATTATAACCAAAACGTATCGGCAGATTTAGCTATATGCACGGTACATTACATGTACATTTAATTACTAATTATGGACGACCATTAAACCCAGATGGCCCCAAAAATTTCTGATCTAGTCGCTGTCTTTGTGCAGTGGTTGTCGATAAATAAGTGTTTTTATCAACAATAAACGCATGTTTCAACTTTAATTAAATAAATTAAATTTATTAAATTTTTAACTTTCTTAAAAAGAAAATTGTTTTATGTCTATAACAAGAACGTTGACATTTCTTACGTCAGGAATGCTATGCCAGACTTCTCAGCATTTCAGCATGTGCTGCTTGAATGAATATTGAATATTATATTAAGACTAAACCTATAGTAAACACAAAAGCAACATTCAATTAGTGTAGACAATTCAGGCAATTTTGATACACCCTGAAAGGGCCTCAAATACAGGGTTTCTTGTCTTACAAAACACTCAAAATAGATGTGAAGCAAAGCTCACTCTTTTTTAATTTTTTTTTTTTTCAAATCTTTTTTTTTTTTTTCAAATCTGAATTGTCAAAAATATATATCATACTATCATAATATCATAAATACATCATAAGTATTTGGCATTTTTAGTACATTCTGAAGACAGAGACAACTCATTTTATCTCTCAACCACAAATCTATAATCATATCATATAAACATATAATTTCGTATTTCTAAATTGATAACACTGTCGCAAAATCTACGACTATCATATTGCCCTGTACCTTGCACTATAGATCCATGCCAAGTGATAGCCATTAATATCACTCGTGCTTTGTATGAACCAATCAAGGATGAATATCTTACAACCTTTTATTTTTGGTTTATTAGTAATTTTTATCACATGTCTCTTACTAAACTATATTTTGTCTATTTGTCTTCGCCATTTATAGCGTCACTCATTTTATGACATTTTCCCATGCAATTCACTCAAGTTTTATCGTTCCAGTTCCTAATCTTTTATCATAGACCCCAACAAGGCAATGTTACTAGTGCATTGGACGAGCGACTAGTATTGATGTGGGACATTTTCTCTTGTCCGTCTGTAACGTTCTGTCCGTCCACTCGTTCACTGGGAATGTTCGTTACCGCTGCCCCATTGGAGCCTCTGTGAAAAAAACTATACTGATATATACAAGTTGAGAAAAAAACTCACTTTATTAATTGAGTTTTTTTACCTATATAAATCAATAATAAACTTGCACTGTTATACATGTATATCAATACAGTTTTCAAATGTTCATTGAAAGTGTAATGAGTATAATGGGTTAGTAAGACCAAAAAAAAAATGTGCGAAACCTTGCGATAAAAAATGTATCGATAGACACATAGAAATATGTGTCGTTTTTCCTCATAGCCACATACCAATATCATGAATATGTATCGCTAGTCACATGACATATACTCAAAAATATATTATTTTGGCGAATAAAGTTTTAAAAATATGAGCCGCGTCACGACAAAACCAACATAATGGGTTTGCGACCAGCATGGATCCAGACCAGCTTGCGCATCCGCGCATTCCGATCAGGATCCATGCTGTTCGCTATCAGTTTCTTTACTTGTAATAGAATTGGTAAGCGAACAGCATGGATCCTGATCAGACTGCGCGGATGCGCAGGCTGGTCTTGATCCATGCTGGTCGCAAACGCACTATGTTGGTTTTGTCGTGACGCAGCTCATATGTATTTCAAGGAAGGAACACTATCAGAACACTATAATTATGCAACACTACACACAAATACCATATAATTATTGTCTTTTCACCACAACCATTAGGCTACATTCTTTATCACAAGTATAGTACGTGTTAATTTTCATTCGGGACATAATGATTATCTATTTTCTAATATTGTGAATATTTCATGGCAGTAAATCAATCAAAACATAGATAATACATATATATTACTGTCTGTATTCATGTTAAAAAGCATTTCTTTTTATGCTGTGCATACATCGTTGGAATAATGCACTTGATTGCCTCATCTGTTTGATAGATTCATTTACTTATTTTTTTTTTATTTTTCATTTATTTTCATTTCTTACTTTCTTTCTTTATTTATTCATTCATTCAGTCATTTACTCACTCAATCATTCCTTCACTCACTTACTTACAAAATCATTCATTCATTCATTCATTCATTCATTCATTCATTTATTTATTTATTTATTTATTTATTTATTTTAATATTTCTTTCTTTATTTATTTATTTTAATATTTTTATTTATTTATTTATTTTAATATTTCTTTATTTCTTTATTTATTTTTTATTTATTTATATATTCATTCATTCATTTTTTTTATTTATTCATTTTTTTTTTATTTATTTATTTATTTATTTCAAGGAATATATAGAAGATCCTGTAATGGCTGGTGGCGGATGTTCTCCACAAATAGAGCTTCATTTATACAAAGGAAAGTGTAAAATACAAATCTTGATATCTGGAGCATTAAAACCCTCAGCTAAGCTGGAAAAGGTATAAATGAGTTTTTCAAGTTTTAAAAAAATAACTTCCATAGATGGTTATGTTTTTTTATGGTAGCAATATTGTCATCCATTTTTTTTTTCGTGTCTAGCGGGAGAGTGTTTTAAAGTCATATGACATTGTAATGTTCCAGCAGCTTTACATGAGCAGAAAGACCTCAGTATTATTTCAGGCACCTTAGAAGAACCACTGTAAGCTATCTATGTAGCCTTTGGCATGAAATAATCCAATTTCAAAGCCACATAGGAAAGGTAATTTACTTGAAGGCAGCACATGTACAGAGAGAGACCTTGAAAAAAATTAAAAAGAGATAATATTATGCTTACAGTTATCTACATTCGTTTGTTTGCTGGAGAGAACATGCTGTAGATGCTGTAGAGTGTTGGGTTCTAACTCACCCAAACACTGTAAATGGGTATACGGCAAATATACGGCTTTACAGTTATACGGCAACTATACGGCTTTACAGTTATACGGCGACTTTACGGCTTTACAGTTATACGGCAACTATACGGCTTTACAGTTATACAGCAACTATATGGCTTAACAGTTAAAGTCATTGTCTCCGGCACGAAGTTTACCTAAGTAGAACTACTGAATTGCTCATTAGCCGGAGAAATGAAAACAGATCCAATTGAGATATTATTCAAAAATGCTCTTACAAACTATATCAATACAGGCAAACTTGTGTTGAAGACAACTTCCGAATTAAGGTACCCTGTAAATAATGGCCACTTTTCGACAATCCTAGATTGATCTAAAAGAACAAAGTTACCTCCAAATAAAATCCACTTGTCTATAAAGGCCATGTTCGGTCTCTCCCTTGTATGACCTTTGTCCGCAGGTTTGACTGTATATTAAACACTGATGTAATAATTGTGACGTCAAACTTCTCATTACAACAGGGAGAAGATGTTCTAGTTTTTAACGAAGCTCAAGTGGAGTGTAGAAAAATCTTGAGCTTAATTCCTGTTTACGACGGTTCCGATGATGACACAGCAACGATCAAGTTCAAGGTCGACGATGAGATCAAACATACGGTACACATTCATGAAATACCGACTGAGAAGAGTCAGGATCTTAGCCAAAGCCAGAAAAGTACACGAAGCGCTAATTCCAGTATCATTGATTCCAGTTTTCGTACGGCGCCAGAGAGTATGGCGTCATCGAGTTCCTCTTCAGATTTTACAGACGAGTCTACTTTAATGCAAGGTAAATATGCGAAATCTAGTATTCACAAATCTTTCTAACAAAATGAAGGTAATTCATTATTTATTTGAGACAGTGCTTGTTAAACATAACGAGAATTTACTTAATTTCAAACATATTTCTTAAAAATGCTTGCCTCTAGAAGATAACAAATAGCAGGCATTGTATTAACATTCCAAATTTCTTCAAATGCATAGAATTGTTTAAAAAACGAAATATTGCTTTAAAATGTACATTCGAAATAAGACAGTTCTTTAAAAATTATACTTCTTCTATCATCCGGGTTATTATTAGACCGGATACAACTTTTGACTGTCCGGGTAAATAAATATTGCTTAATTCCCTTTTTATGAAACTGTTAAAGGAACTCCGCTGAGGTTTAAAAGCATTAAACAAAAAATTTAAAATTTCATACATAGATCACCTGGTGTACTTAAAATAGAAAGAAACGCAAAAGATAATTAGAAATATACTGAGAAATAGATTGAAAATCATATTTTTGTGTCATACTTGAAACGCTTTTCAATTTTGGATCATTTTCACAAAAGAATAATTATTCTCGAAAACCGGTGTGAGCAAATGATCTGAAATTTTCCACCAAAGTTATTAGCATAGATCTGCATGAAGTCGAACAGTTTTTCGTCAAAAACATCAGTGGAGTTCCTTTAAGCGTTTCGTCAGTTTGAGTATTATAACTAATTATCGCCCCTTGAGAAAAGCAACATAGTGAAAAAAAAATCACATTTTCACTTTTTATAATTTTATAAAAATACGATGGTTCTCAATTACTATGGTACAATTTTCATCGTTTTTGGATAATTAAAAGTTGTTAAAATATTAGTTTGAAACAAAAGAGGATTTAACGACGGTGACGTCATTTTCTACACTATGTTGGTTTTCTAATGGGGCGGCCCATTATGTGATATAGGCATACGGTTTGATTTGATAGAAATGCCAAGAATTTCATTTACATATTTTACTGCACATAACATTTTGTCATTTTAACAATAATAAAATGTTTCTTATATCTAAAGGTTCTGTTAGACAGACACGGGTCTCTACATCAGGTAAATTACTTTTAACTTACATTTTGATAAGTACATGTACTTGTGTAATTGCTTACAAGAAATGACATTAAACAGTATTTATAGTGGAAATCTTGGTGAGTATCGCCTTATAGATATGCGACTGTACAAACTTGCGTATTTGCGTTTGAAACAAATGTCACTGCTCATGTTATAAGGTAAACCCTCGGGGTATATTCCTCAGTGTTATTTATTTGTTATTTCTTTCAACAGGAGGTGAACCTGTAAGGTTCAAGCTATGTGCTGATCCGGATCCTCCAAGAGATTCAGGCCTGGATGATGCGGTCGGTAAGTTCATTATATAGCTTAAGTCATCATCATTTCCGAGCTATAACTGTTACCTTGATGTCCTGGCTATATACTTAGTGATCATTTTCTGTTCCGACAGGTTATTGGTTAAAACATGTCTTTTCTTGCAAATCAATGCCTATAAATAAACATGTATTGCACCAATACTGTTTTATTTTTTTACTCTATGAATCGGTAAATATCGTCTAATTTCCGGTATTATCGTCAAAGTCGCTCTAGCCTTTTTCCGACTGTTTTCTTCTACTTTTGATAAAGTTTTGTCATGTGATAGGGTGTTTCCCATTATGACGTCACCATTTAAGAAATACCAATATGAGCCGCGTCATGACAAAACCAACATAATGGGTTTGCGACCAGCATGGATCCAGACCAGCCTGCGCATCCGCGCAGTCTGATCAGGATCCATGCTGTTCGCTATCATTTCCTCCACTTGTTATAGGGTTTGTAAGCGAACTGCATGGATCCTGATCAGACTGCGCGGATGCGCAGGCTGGTCAAACCCATTACGTTGGTTTTGTCGTGACGCGGCTCATATGTCTTATTATGTTAGGGTCCGCTACTTTTACAAGAATCAGCTTTTATAATTTTCAAAACCACTTTTAAACGTTATAAATGTATCATTTCTTTCGCAAGAACATCGATTTACAATGCAGTTAAGTTGTCTTCTGTACATTCAAATTTGACATCAAAGTTAATTGTAAAAATATAGTATTTTATATTGAGACGGGAATTATGTATTTCATTTCAAATTAGTATGTATTGAGACTTGCAGTTGCAGTTCCAGATTATTTTTTTACAGTCTGCCTCACTGTTACATTATTAGAGGAAACATATATGAATCTCTCTCAAAACCCTCTCTTAAACACCCTAACACCCTCCTCCAACAGTGCCCCTTCCCTCCTTCAAATGTCTTCCCGCTATAGCTCCTCCAAATATGTTTCAATCAATTTTTCTTAGACAAACTCGATATAACTTTTCGTGTATAACTTTCGATTTAATTGATATATTTATAAAAGTTGATTACCAAAAATGTACAATTTTACAGGCGGCATGCGTTTAAGTGATAATGCACCAGGACCAACAGTGGTTCCGCCGGAAGATCCAGGTAAAATGTTTCACTTTTATGCAATTACTTGCTTACAAATTAGCAACCGTTGGAAAAAATACTTACCTATTTGGTGCGTTTTTTTAAATATAAATCGTCTTGAAATGCACATACACAGAAGCAAAATGAAATAAGTATAAACTCGCTAGACATTTACAATAACCTTTCGAGAGCAAAACCTCTTAGCTGCCACCAAAATTTGTCTCCGTGAGTGTTGCTCTTTAGCGGTTGCACTGTATTTATAATCGATATAAATAGCATTTAACACATAGCCTCCGTTTGTATGGTTCTTCAATTACTCAAACTGTATACATATGGATCAAAAGCAAGATCGTCGGTAAAGTATAGGAAGTTAAACATTAAATGGTGCATTTTATAAGGAATTATGAAAGAAATCTACATGATATTATTATTGCGTCTAATAAAGACTACATCAAAGATCATTTACTTATTAAAATTTACATGTATATAATTCAAGCCCTGGGGTCAAAGTAAGCCCTCCCCCCCCCCGGAGGTTCATGTTTTAATCTTTTCTCACACCACAGGAGATAGAGCTTAAGTATGTAAACGAGCACAACGGTTATTCAATTTATGACCTTCAAATCAATATTGGCCCCTCCATGGGTTTTTTCATATTTTATAGTAAAAACTATTTTAAATCTTGTCCTCTGTGCCCACAAAAGCTACATCTTATTATGATATAACGCCTAAAGCTTTATCTAGTAGACCGTTAAAAAGCTAATTCTTATAATAGCTATGGGGTAAAAATTAATAAGCAATACATGGCTTCCATATTTACCATCGACTTCCCTATTCGATAGCATCAATTTCGACTTTCGACGTTATCCAGTACTTTTCAAAGCAACCATTGACTTCCCATAGCAAGCAGTTGACTTTTTTCTAAAGCAACTAGTAAATTTCATAGCAAACACTGACTTTCTTTAGCCTCTAGTGAATTTCGTAGCATCCAGTGACAGAAGTATGTGACTTTCAAAGCAGTCATTGAGTTTCCATAGCGACCACGGATTTTTGAAAGCAAGCAGTGACTTCCATATCAACCATAAACTTTTCATACTAAAAAGATATTTCCTACCAACCAATGACTTTTGACAGCAACCAAATTGAATGACTTTCCATAGCAATCAATGACTTCCGTACAAAAAATAGGCTGTGACTAAAACAAGGATTGGAGCACCACACTAAATACCGTATTCCGGTATATACCGGACAAGGCGCTTGAATGATAAAATGCTAAAATCTTGTCTTTTTACCCAACGGAATGAACTTTAACAGGACTAATTCATCTTTTCACACCGAATCAAGTACGATAATCAAGGAAAAATGTAAAATTCGGCGAAAAAAAACGATATTTGTCTATTTTGTGATCATGATTTCTGCAAGCGTCTAGAGGTACTGCTCCAATCCTGTATTGAGCTAAATCCCAAAAAATATTCTTTCAGAACCACCACTGACATTTCCACCAGCAACCATTGACTTTTTATAGCAACATTTGACATCCATGGTAACTTCCTTAAAAACCACTGACTTTCCATAGCAACCATTGACTTTCATAGCATCCGGATACTTCCATAGCAACCAGTAAATTCTGTGTCAACATTTGACATTTTTTATCCCCTAGAGTATGACAAGATTTTGCTAGACGACTCTCTATTGGCTCTGATTGGTGGGCTTTCACCCAGCGACGCAAGCTTGTTGTTGACGAGTCTACTAGTACCAACACATATACAAGGCCAGAGTCGTTTTAATAACAGCCAAAATATTGTGGCGGCAAATTTTACATCTCTGAAACATTGGAAATCAAAGAAAACATCGAGGAAAGACTTGCCGGACACAACCAACCGGCAGCTGTGTGAAGATTTGATCACAGCGCTTGAAGGCATCGGAAGGAAAGACATTGTTCGACTTATAAAATTGAAATTACAAGCAAATAAGGCGCTAGGGCATGACGATTTTAGTGACCTTTAAAATAGCATCATTTGAGAAATATTTGCAACACTTTTTTTCCATTTTTCTTTTTAACCTGTATACATTAACATAATTAATTGTTTTTGGATTTCATTTCTGATCTATAAAAGAGTGCTAACTTTGATTTGCAATTGTACGCCTGATCTCAATTTTCACAAATTTATGAAACTTACATGTTCACTTAAAAAGTCGAATTTTATTAGACATTTGTGATGTTTATGTATAAAATTTGCATGTTTAAGAGATTAATTTTTATTAGACATTTGTGATGTTTTATATATTTTACATTTTCTCTGTCATACAAAGCATTTTTTTTAATTGATACATAAATTTTTTTTACCAAAGATATCTATGATAGTACTTTTGGAAATTTATAAATTCATTTTTATTTAATATCAAATAAATGTAATTCTAAAGGAATAACAAATATTTTGGACAAGTTGTATGACCATGTATAAAATGTTGCTTTTACTATATAATTCTGAGTTATACATGTAAAAATATATATTTAATGTATATATATACAAAGGTTTACCTAGATGTTGTTATGTTTTAAAGGCACATGCCTAATAAATGAATATTTTCTCTATCTGTAGAAAGTTAAAATGTGTGTTTTATAATATTTTGATAATGGATTTAAAGGCACATTATGTCTTGGAAATGATTTTTTCCCCTTTTTTACAAAGGTATAACCTTTAAATAATAGCTTAAGAGCATTTTAAATGTTTATTGGTGGAAGAAAATGGCGTTGAATCTGAAATTATTTGTCGTCAATGTCTCAAAATGTAAACAAAGAACTATTTTGACTTCCATACAAAATGCTAAATCACTGTAACTGTACTAATTGCAATAAAGTAACAAAAGCAATGAACTTTTTCAGGTAAAATGAGTATATTTTTGGAAACTATAACAAGACACCAAAAATAAAAAAATAAACTTTTGTGAATCAACAGTAGAGAGCATTTCTGGGGCATAATGGGCCTTTAAAACATATGAGATACTTATAACCTGAAGAAAATAACATTAAATGGGAAATAATTTTTGATATTACAAACTGGTTTGTTGACTTCTACGCAAAATATACAATCACTAAAACCGTACTCATCGTAAAATTGAAAGAGAAGCATATGGCCAATGCGTAACTTTATTGACACTGTTATAGTAAAACTAAAAATAAAAGTTTTTGAGAAATAAAAATGATGCATAACGTAATGGGCCTTTGAACCGTATTCCTGTGTAATCTCCACATTATGTAATTTGTTACCAAAGTCATACACCATTTAATTATGTTTCAGTTGCAGCCAAGATCATGTGAGCAAATTTATGGCTAAGCGCCTTTGGAATACTGCATTTAGAAAACATATGAGCCGTGTCACGACAAAACCAACATAGTGCGTTTGCGACCAGCATGGATCCAGACCAGCCTGCGCATCCGCGCAGTCTGATCAGGATCCATGCTGTTCGCTATAAGTTTCTCTACTTGTAATAGGGTTTGTTAGCGAAAAACATGGATCCTGATCAGACTGCGCGGATGCGCAGACTGGTCTTGATCCATGCTGGTCGCAAACCCATTATGTTGGTTTTGTCGTGACACGGCTCATATATTTATGTCCCATTTATACTGTCCCGTAAAGTTTGATTTTTGGAATTTCGTCCCCTAATGGAGGACCTGCCAGAAATGATCATTTTACTTGCCTTTATAAGGTGATATTCATACCGGTGATACAAAGGTCAATGAATAGATACCAACTTTGAGTGCATGGTTGTAGAACAACGCACTGTTCGAGTTCAAATGCGTAGGAATATAATTACGAGCGCCGAAAGGCCCGAGTGATTAATTATAAATCATTTGAACTATATATAAACCGTGCATTATTATACATTGTACTATATTTCAAGAAAGAATTAATTCTAATTTTCTGACATGCTAACAAAAAAGAATTGATAAAAATATGATGAGCGAAGAAGTTACTTTCCTAGCGTCATTAGGTTTATTGTCTATGCATTCCATTATTCCATTTTTATGCTGTTGACTGCCCTATCTGTTTGATAGGGGATATTGTATATTGTATTTATATTTGTAAATAAATATAAATAATACACATATCAAAGAAGTTTCTCTTTTTAGCTCACCTGTCACAAAGTGACAGGATTAGCTTTTGTGATCACTTTTCATCCGGCATCTGTCCGGCCGGCGTCTGTCCGGCCGTCAACTTTTACTTTAAATGACTGCTCCTCATAAACCACTAAGCCAATTTCATCCAAACTTCACAGGAATGTTCCTGTGGTGGTCACCTTTAAAAATTGTTCAGAAGAATTTAATTCCATGCAGAACTCTGGTTGCCATGGCAACCAAAAGAAAAAACTTTGAATATCTTCTTTTAAAAAACCATAAGAGCTAGAGCTTAGATATTTGGCATGAAACATCTTCTAGTGAGTGTCTACCAAGTTTGTTCAAATAAAAGCCCTGGGGTCAAAATTGGCCCCGCCCCAGGGGGGTCATTGATTTTCCCTATATGCATATAGTAAAAAATTAAAAAGTCTTCTTTTAAAGAACCCAAAGAGCTAGAGCTAAGATATTTAGCATGAAACATGTTCTAATGGGTGACTACCAAGTTTGTTCAAATAAAAGCCCTGGGGTCAAAATTGGCCCAGCCCCGGGGGGTCATTGATTTTCCCCATATGCATATAGTAAAAACTAAAAAAATATTCTTTTAAAGAACTCAAAGAGCTATGGCTAAGATATTTAGCATCAAACATGTTCTAATAGGTGTCTACCAAGTTTGTTCAAATAAAAGCCCTGGGGTCAAAATTGGCACCGCCCCGGGGGTCATTGATTTTCCTTATATGTGTATAGCAAAAACTTAAAAAGTCTTCTTTGAAAAAAGCCAAATAGCTAGAGTTAAGATATCAAGCATGAAACATCTTTTAGTGAGTGTCTACAAAGTTTGTTCAAATAAAAGACTAGGGGTCAAAATTGGGCCCGCCACGGGGGTCATTGATTTTCTTTATGTGTATAGCAAAAACTTAAAATCTTCTTTGGAAAAACCCAAATAGCTAGAGTTTAGATATTAAGCATGAAACATCTTCTAGTAAGTGTCTACAAAGTTTGTTCAAATAAAAGCCCTGGGGTCAAAACTGGCCCGGCCCCAGGGATGTCATTGTTTTTAACTATATGTGTATAGTAAAAACTTAAAAAAAATCTTCTTTTAAAAAGCCCAATGAGCTAGAGCTTAGATGTTTAGCATGAAACATCTTCTTATGGGTGTTTACCAAGTTTGTGTAAATAAAAGCCCTTGGGTTAAATTGGCCCTGCAACGTTTGGGGGGGGGGGTTTGGGGGGCTATATACAGGTGAGCGACCTCAGGGCCATCATGGCCCTCTTGTTTAACTAAACACCTCTATAGACAACAAAGAAAGACAACTCCGTATGATGAATTACATAGTCCTTTTCAAAGAGTTGTCTTTCTTTTAAATGGTTATTTCTGCAGTGACAACTTGACTTCAGTGACAGAAAAAAGCAACAACAAATATCTCTAATCAGACAAAACATAATATTAAGCTTTATGATAACGATTTGTGAAATATAGATGACTCATGTTACCAAAGAAATATCAACAGCAGGAACAAACAAATGCACATGTATAAGTATTTCCAAAAAAAGGCTGGGAATCGCCGTTCAGCGAAATATTCGATTTCTTAGTGAAATAGACGTCTTCTTCAACAACAAAACTAATGTTTCTTTTTCTGAATCAGGATCTATCCACTGTTTTCGAGCTTCTTACATAAAGATATTATTTCAACTGTATATATAGGTAACCCGACAAAAAGTATGGCGGATGGCGTGCCTCGTAGAAGTTTTGTCGTCCATTTTACTACCATGTGGCATAATGTGCGTTCACTAAGCTGGTTAGATTAGGGCAGGTCAAGTATTGTTAATGTCATCATGCAGGTATGGCGATAGTGAGCAGTTATTGCCAATGTAAAATGTAGATAGCAGACAGTCCATGTAACCCAGTAGATGCTCACTTTAATAGAAAGCTGTCATATGAAGAAACATGGTCGTGACACGAGTAGGGCTCGAACCCCATGATCTCTGGGTTGAGAGGCAGACACCTTAACCACTAGGCCACCGCTCCCCTTGATTATCTGCTTATGGGCGTACCATGATTTCAGTAAATTTCAAATTGTAAACATCGTAATTTTCATAGAATTCGGAACCGACAACAGACGGACGGACAATCAAAGAATAAAACAAAACAAAAATGAAAGGGGCTAAGAAGTATCTCAGAATTAGTTTGAATAATCATAGAATGTTATATATTAGTTTTTAGATACAGTCGAACAGAATGACAGATAGCCATCCAGGTTGGCTATCAGAAAGACATACTAAAACGGAAAGTCAGACAGAAAAAAACAGACATGAAGAGTATTTTTTACGAGACAAACAAGAAATCTTATTACTTCTGTATAATGTCTTCAATAAATCTGGCATCATAAAAATGCATAGTACTATGTATCAGATAATTGAGAAAACCAATTAGAAACCGCATCCAAACCGCAATTCAAAATTGTGAAAGTTTGCCGATGATTGCCTGTTTGAAAGGTCACGAGATCGTTACAGCCTATTAGTGGTCGTCAGATCCTTATGCGAAGCGTTAATTAGGAGCTGATACTAATGAGATTGGAATTAATTACTTCGAATACAGCTCCTCATCAAATTTAAGAGCAGAGTTCGGTGAAAAGGGATGAATAGAGATCTCTGTGATGATCTATACAGCACCAACTACGAATAGTGGACCCCTTGAAGGGATCCCTATAGGGTGTGACACGCCATTTATAGTCATTCTGAAGTTGATTTATGGTTGCTGTGGCAAAAAAAAAACGTGATGTAACCGGTGCAAGAAGTTTGCAAGTAAGTTTAGTAAGATATCCGGATCGTGTCATGTAAAAGACAAAAATAAACCGTTCGGACAAACACATCGGAGCCGTTTGGCCATAAAGACTCATGTGCACAGGAAAATCGAAAGTCGGTTTTGAAAAATAGGTTAAGAAAATCCTAAGGGTATGTTTATCAATGTGAATTGTTGAAAATGTTAAATGATTATGCGTACTAGTAATTCATAGGTATAAATAAGTTATGCATATCCAAGTAACATGGCAATGTTATTAATACATGAAACCTAAACCTTTAATTTGTTTATCTTTCATGTTATAAGTAAAGGATATAAACTGCCAGTAAACATTCGTTGCATGTTAGTACATAAATTATAATTTTGTACCATGATTTTATTAAAGTGGCGTACATGTAATTAGAAATGGAGTTAAAAGAAGTTTATAACTGAGATTCCGACAGTAGCGGCAAAAGCTTCACGATGACGAGACTTGAGGGGCATTAATTGTCATCAAAACAGATCAGAACAACAGCACAGCTAGATCTAGAGGTTAGTACGTTAAATTCTCTTACAAAACTATCACATGATGAACATAACGCGAAGAACAAAATCGTGCATTGACGCCAACTTCGATAAGATTATATTACTAGGAAAAGTCGTGCTGGTTTTAGGGTATTTTGTATATTTTGGTTTTGCATTAGCCTATCATATCGGTGATGAGGGATCTTGGAGACTTGTTTGGTGTACAGCTTTAGGAGTATGGATGGTATGCTGGGGGATTACTGAAAAGCGATCAAATGTTACACCGGTTGGTCATCAGCCGTCGACAAATTGTTTGCCGAGTATTCGAAAGGCAGGCGAACTCGATATTTAGATGGTAAGTCTTTTTATTTTTCAACTAACTTACTTGAATACCAACTTTATATTTTTTGTAAAAAAAAAAATCTAGAAAACAAAGTGATCCCTCAGAATAATATATACATTGTAATTTGATGCATTTTTGTAATTGAAAATCCAAACTATAATTGACAAATATCATTGTAATGATTGGGTTTATGCTTTTAAACTTTTCTTGACGGATATATTGCAATAACAATTTACCAACATTGTTTAATTATCATTATAGTATTCAAATGATGTTTATTCTTATTTTTTTTTAGGTCTTTGTATTTCTTGATGACAGCATTTATGGTTGTTTATTTGATACTATTTGTGGCGATAAAAACACCGGAAAATCTCAAATCTTTAATTGGACTTTTTGTTTTTCCTTTTTTGATGTTTCTGTATTCTAATAATAGACGAAAGGTAAGATTGATGTAAAGTGCTCTATTTTGAAGTATACTAATTAGTTAATAAGAAATATTTTAATGGAATTGATATGTTCTTTATTCGTTTAGTTGTCGTCATACTCCCTTAAAGGGTCATTATGCCTCGGAAATGCATAAACCATTACCATATGAAACAAACCAATGAAAATAACAGACATGTTTCAGCAATTTATATTCGTATAGTGTATATTTAGTGTTTGTATTTATATTTTTTAAAACAAATATTTTGTACATTGATACCTTTAAACTGGAACATGAGGTTTATAGAAGATGTTCTTTTACTTGAGATTAAAGTGTCATATTTCAGTTTGTCAATGCTTACTTGACGTTAAGAAACGTTTGTTACATTGCAACCTACGGTATTGTATATAACAATGTAAGTAACGCTTCAATGATTTAAACAGATAAATTGGCACACCATTTACTGGTCGATGGCTTTGCAAATTCGTTATGGCATTTACTAATTTTGAAAGACGACTTGGGGGTTCAAGATGCTCATATCAATGGTGCGGGGCGTAGACTCAAATCGCTCGTTCGCGAACGCGAAAGGCGCTGGAAGTGTATTCATATTTGCGTTGAAAAATATGTAGACCATCCATTTGCATAACTTGGCGTAGGTATTGTTAATAATTGAGATATTTTTTTAGGGGGGCAAAAATTTTTTTCAATTTCTAGATAGTTTCAATGATCAATTATTTTATGGTTTTACTCTATAGATAGGCAAAATCAAACATGATCGAGTATTTGTGATTTAGTGAAAGTTTAAAGTCGTCATGCTTATGCCCTATTTAAAGTCAAATATATGGGAACTTTAATAATGTCAGTTTTTGAACACGAACTAAGTCGCTAGATGTTAATCATTAATATTCAAAGTCATTATCACTGAGTTTGGCAAAATAGAACATATGAAATTACTCAATAAATTCCATTTTATAGTACATGTACATGTAATATCCTTCTGATTAGATCATAAAATTTACTTAATTTAGATGGGACATTTACTCCATACATTGAAATAAACAACTTCACATTAAAATTGCTAATGATTACATGTTTAGTTCTTATTTACATAAGTTAGAACAAATATGTCGATCCGCTCTGTGTATTCTTACTATTGTCTTCGAGGTCCTTAACCTAAGTTGACGGAAAGGGCTGAAAAGCTTCTGACAGGTTTGAACACACGCGGCCCCAATCCTAGATTATCTTTCGGGCCAACGCTGCCATGTATAGATCTAGCAAGATTAACATTTCTGTAGTTTTGTTACATTTTTTTCTATACAGCATTTATGCAATTCCCTTTTCATGTCCTTCGCATCCAGTGCTTTCACACTTTGATTGTCTAATCAGTTTCTGTGCAAACATTCTTCAATTCATTTCAGTCAATTGGTACAGGGTTCGTAGTTATCATCGGCATGTCCTTTTAACCTACCTTGGGGTCTCAGTCATTGTAAAACTTTGTAGGGCACTTTCATTCTGTATAGGAACATCTCCTTCCCGAAGGAATCAACGCAGTTGGTAATATGTTTCTTGCACTGGTTTTAAATATGAAAAGAACATGGTACTTTTTTATTTTACATACTTTTATAAAAGTTCAAAAATAGACCTATTTAAAAACTGATATAAAATGTGACTTTAAATTTAAAGTAATTATTCAGCTTTGTATATTATGTTACTAATTATTATGGAATTAATTCACATGGATTGATTTTTTAAGTAGCATGTGTTAAAATATAGAGATCATTCAATAACTTCTGAAAATCCTTGAATTTCAGAAAAGTTAAGTAAATTGTCCATGTCCCAGTTTTTTTTATATATATCACAGGTATTGAAAGTCTATCAAATAACAATTAAACGATAACATCCAAAAATACCTCTATATAGTATAAATAAAATTAAATGATATAGTAAAAACAACATGGTGGTACAGAGGGACATGTGTGCGCTTTTATAATCGGTCGTGCGCACGAGATACTATGTCGTGGGCACGAGTCGACTTCTCGTGTGCAAAAAATTAAGGTCGTGGTGCGCACGAGATAACTATGTTGTGGCCACGATTTATTAAGTAGGCGCACGAGATAAATTTTTAAGTCGTCGGGACAGATATTTAAAAAAAATTAGCAAAATTTCCCTTTTTGTTTTTCATGCCCTTTTAAAACTTTTAAATACTGATGGTATTTAAATTAACCCTTTTAAATTTTTTTGGGTCTCTTTTTGGGACACTACAAATTTTCCCCAAATCAGCCATTTAAATTTTACCAGTTTTGTGACTAACTGTAAAGGACGAATTTTAAAGCCGTTTATTTCGAAAACCCGGGAGGGACATTTTTAACTTAGAAATTCCCCTTTCATTTTTTATGAAATTTCCCGATTTTATCTTTATGAATTTTCCCGATTTTAACTTCACGAAAATTTTCGATTTTAAATTTTACGAATTTACAAATTTTACCTTCATGAAATTTAGATTTTAACTTTACAAATTCAAAAATTTGGGGAAAATTACGGGTTTCAACTTCAGAAAATTTATGTTCCCGCTTTACCCAATTCACGATTTTAAAATTCATGAAAAACAGATTTAACTTCATGAAATTTGGGAAAAAAATTCGTGAAGTTGAAATAAAAAATTCGGGGAAGTTGAAAAGTGAAATTTGTGAATTGAAAACGGGGAAATTTACGAAGTTGAATTCATGAAGTTGGGAAATTTGTGAATTCATGAAAGGGTTAAATCGGAAAATTTTGAAACCCAAATTCCCGGGAATTTTGTGGGAATTTCCCTATTTTTAAACGTGGGAATTCCCGGAAGTAAAAATTGTTTAATTTCCCTGAAGATGGGAAAACGATAATTTATGAAGTTAAAAAGGGGCCCCTTTTTTCTTTTGGGACTTTAACCCTTTTCCAGGGGGATGAAAAGAGAAAGGGAAAAAAGCCGGGTTTTTTTTATTATTTTCCTTAAATTTTTGTTTGAGGTAAGAGGTCGAAAAGGGCAAAGGGAATTTCAAGGAATTTCCCAAATTTTCCCTTTTTTTTTCAAAATACCCAAACCCCTGTTCTTTTTATATTTGTAAAAAGGGAAAAAATCTTTTTAAAATACACAAGCTTTTTTTGATAAAACTTTTCGTTTTTAAAGGGGATTGATGGAAATTTTTGGGTGTTTTTTCCATTAAAAAATTTTACCCACTTTTTTAAAACCCGAAAAACTGTTAAACTTATACAAGAGTACTTTCCGGAAAATTTACGCCCTCAAAGTTTTTCGTGACTTTCGCAGGTGGGAGTCAACCGTAGGGGGTTGCGGGTTTTTATATTAAAGTCATCAGGGGGAAAGTAACAAAGTCATAGTTCTTTTTTTTTTCGACTCGTAATTTTTGTTGTTTTAATCAAACATTTTTCCCTGTAGCAAATGCATAAATTTACTTTTAAAAGGAGTTTTCAAATTTCCCGGGCCCCAAATTTAAAATTTTTTTTTTGTTTTTCGGGGAAAGAAACCCAAACAAATTTAAAAAATTTTATCAAATTTAAAAATTAAATAAGGAGGTAAAAATGGTCGCGGAATTCTTTTTGGGTCAGTGCAATAATTAAAAATTGCATAATAAGGAATACGTGTACTCAATTCCTTTTTAAGGAAAAGGGATTTTTTTGAAAAGTTTTATATTTAGAAGCTATATAGCGGTAGTTTTTGCGCTGTTTACTTTCCGGTTGTCTGCTTTCCAATACCCTATACAAATTTGTTCCCGTTTTACTAGATCTATATGATGCAATATTGTATCAACCTCTTTAGAATTTTATTTTTTCGCATTTTTTTCCCCTAAACTTGGCAACGACCGTGTACTAAATTTTTAAACCGCCCAAAATTTTCAATTTAGCTAAGCATTCGAACTTACGTTTTTT